ACGTCGACAGTCACTGAGGCCAAGTTGTGTAGAGCTCATCCCACCTGCGAAAGCAGTTAGCTTGAAGCAAATGGCTCCTAGCCAGCCCCAAGCCTCGCCAGCTCCCTCAGAGTGGTACGTCTCCAGGAAGAACATGGACCTGAGCACAAGGGACTCTCCAAAATGCGCATCGGCGATGTAAGATTCCCATAGAAAGCCACAAAGTAAAGGGGCCCTACGAACAAACCGTAAGATTTAGTGTTGTTGGATCTTGTCCCAGAACTCACCCGGCGTAGAAGAACAACGCGAAAGCGTCGCAAACCCGTGAAGTGAAGAAGATCAACCACGAAGAGCCACCACCAAAGTTTTTACTCATCCAAGGGTCATCAAAGTAGTAGTTGGCGGAGTAAAAGACTAGAAGCGCCAAAGTAGATGCGAAAACTCCGAAGGAGGAAGCTTGTTGCAAAAACTTGGTTCCGGCGCGATATCCCCGAGACTGCTTGATGCTGCAATATGCACGCAACAAAACGTTTTTCACTTCATTGCAGCTGTGCCGGACCCCAGGAAGGTCCAAAATATAGTTGATGGCCAGAGATGTGCAAAGCTGACAGTAGCACTTGTGGATGCAGTCAGACGGGCCTGCGGAACTAACCTGCTGTCATCGTCCGTGAGGGTCTGGAATGCCATAGTGGTGAGATTCCCGAGGATAAACAGGCAACAAGCCACTTGAGCCGTCCACAGATTAGCCTTGCCTTAAAGCATAAAAGGAGACGCGGATACTTCCTTACTTCATGACTGTCGTGACGTGCTTAATGGAGTGTCATAGGTGGGACCCAGTGAGTGCTACACCCTCTTTTGACACGTCTGTAACATAGGTGCACTACCACTGGCTCTGCTACACAGTATACAGGAGGATAACCCGTTTGCTGGGAAAGGCACTGCGGTGACTACGAACCGTTAATGTGTGCTGCTCGGAGACGGCTGTTCGTCTCTGCAGGTTATGCTACCGGGCATTGGTAATTACCTACCGGCAATCTCAGGATTGCACCTGAGAAAGCTGAGAAGAGAAAGCGGATCCTTTCCTCCTGATGAAGTCGTCGCAAGCAGGGTGGCATAACCGGCCAGTTGGATCATGAGACCAAGCCGCAGATTGTAGTTAACGAAAAATGTCCAAAACGGTTCAAGCTGAGGCCCTCGGCCCTCAGGGGCTTCGCCTGGACGAACAACGTAGGTGAAAAACATCTTGAAGTCCTCTGGAAGCACAATAAATTGACAACTTGGTTGGGGCGGTAGCAAGACTCGGTGAGCCGCCGACACGTTGCGGGCTTGACGCCCCGTTTGGGGCAAAAACTATGGACCTCGCAGTAGAGATGCATAAACAATTCAGAAGCCAGCGTTTCTGTTGTTTTGTGCATTATATAGATTCCCTCGCAAGACGTGGAGCCATCCGGTAGCTGAGGCGTTCCCGACCTGCCGCCGACAGCCGTCAGCGGCCTCCCAAAGGTCCACTATGATGAACCAGCGTGCAAGGGACAGTCCGGGAAGACATGCAATTGTGTAGGCATTTTCTTCTTTCTTAAAGTGAACTTGCAAAATTTTTTATATTCTGGAGACATTGCCTCCTAACTTTGCTAAGGGAAAGTAATAGTTCGCGTGGAACCGCGAAAGCACGTGTGTAACGACCCCTTGGAAAGCATGAAGAACCCTCTTGATACTGCTGAATTCAATGATAGGAATCAGGTTGCTACGGTAATTTTTCTAAAGTATTCTCCACACCCCTGTGGTGTATTTTCGCACTCCAGGGCTCTAGGGTGTCATACTATTCCGAAACCAAGTGTCCCGCTTCCCTGAACTTTTAGTATTTCATGTTCGACAAGCAAGCGTCCTCTCCAAGTAGTACATATTCCACTTGCACATGCCGTACTGTGTTGCAGATGCCGCAGCCTGTAGCTGTTTCTGTTCTCTTGAATTGTGCACCTCCTCTCAGCACCAAGTGCACGAATTAACACTACGAAGTAACTGCTGGAGCTGGGAACTGTATTCTACTAAGTGAAATATTTCAGTGGTCCTCTATTGCAGTACCACAGGTGATAAGCTGGCCTAGGGTTGTAACTAGCCCAGATTTAAGATTGAGAGTATGTTTTGGCATACGTTGGCCTCTGAACGTGTGGTGCATAGGAACGTCAAAGCTAATGAACTAACGGGGTTCGAATAATTCAAGTCGTATCAACAGGATACACAAACCCTTCGAATAATTTGCCAATACAAGTATCATGCCCTTTTTCACTTGTACGTTTGATTGGGCGCATGCTTCTAAACCGCTCGAGAAAATCAGCATCATAAACATATTATGGCATTTGCATATTAGAAGTACACCGCAGATGTACGCCAACTCATTGACCTAACAGTAAACAGCGAAATCCTACATCCAGCATATAGAGAACTACTTCGGCAGCTCTCCCCTTCTCTCTTTTTGGAGGAAGTGCGAATCCATAAATATCAAGTCGCTTGGGTTGAAAGCAATAGCTGAATTGGGTGTAACGTAGCATGGACTCCCTGTGGCTTTATCATGCATCCCCATACTTCAGCGATCTGCGTGTGGAAGTCTGGATATGCAGGTATGTGGCGCTGACAACAATATCTAACGTCCAATCCGGCAATTCTCTCGGTGGATTGAAGGGACACATAATAGCAACGAGAAAAATGGCTCATAGTTGTATTATACACACTACTTCGCATAAAGGACGAAATGAGAAGAGTGTGACAAATTGCGCTGGGTATATGGTAGCCAATACTGAACTTCTTCGGTGCATTGTGCTTAACCGTCTACCTCAGGATGGCTCGCAGTTGTCATCTTATGGTCTACATGAAACCGCTTCACGCAATTGCTCCAAAGTGAGCTAACAAACTTCGTATCCCTCCCTTCTGAGACATGATCGTGCACTTTGCCTAAACCTCCTGTACGGAATGATGCTCGAGCGTAAAAGTCAGTGGAGTTCACTCTGTGCCTGGTATTATACCAAGTATTCCAGTCCATGGTGTAGTGGTTCACCCCCCGTCCATTGTTGAGCTTAGTGACAACTGCACCCGCATGTGGTTGTCTGAGTAGTAGGATGAGCTCAGTTTTGAACGAAAATGGGAACCTTCACGCGCAAACACAGGTGCAAAATACAATGTCTGTCGTGTAGGAGTCATGTTAGTGAGAATGTTGGTGATGCCGTTGATATAGTTCACCGTGAAGGCGTAATGCGTGTGCCAGCAAAAACCCAACACAACTGGTTTATTATTATGCTATCGAAAAACGTTTGTCAGGTGTCAGGGAATGATGGTCACCAGAGCCCGCATAGCTATATCGTGCGTCTTGGGTACTTCTGCTCGCTCCCTGTCAAGCGATGCTAGTAGCAGGTGATGACTTGGTGTTTTTGCATTATGTGCTTACTGATAGACTATCACCCTATCTTCGGTGGTACTGGCATTGCCTTTTAACAAGAAAGGCCCTTCGAAATTAGGAAGTGCAAGAACTTGAGACAACGTCTGTTGAAGATTCTGGAGGCTGCATCCTCATTCTCCTTCGAAATGAGCTCTTTATCTTTCTTAAGTAGATCGTTTACAGGAGTGGCGATAGGAGCAAAACCAGCAATGAAGTTGGGATAGTATGATGTGAGTTCGACAACCTTGAGAATACCAGTGTGAGTGTACAAGAGTATCGCCTACCTCCGGGTGGACTATGCTTTCGTCGGATCTAATTCGGGCCCAGCCTCCGAGATACGGAACCCTAAGACTATTATTGACGGCACAGAACAGAAACACTTTTGCGTTTTCACGAAAACCCCCCCTCGGGTAGCACTTGCAAAGCATAGTGCGGGTGGGGTAGCTGCTCGTGGACACTCCGGCTGAACACAAACCCGTCTTCCATATGTATCACAATCCACTGCTCAGTGACCCAAGATTTGTCCCCAAAAAGCGTGGTTTACCTGTCGTTGCGTTTCGGCATTCCCAAGCCCCACAGATATACACATATACTTCCTACGAGTGCGGGTATGAAATGTAGTGTGCCAACGAATTTCTTTTTAGCAGTTCGTCTGCTGGTTGCTAGAACTCATCATAATTATGTAGGAGTTTTGGAGATCATATGGGGTACTACGGTGGCAAGCCTAATGGATCCTGGTTAAAGAGGAGACCTAAAGCTTGCTACGTGTGTATGGGTATGAAATGTGAGCATATCCGAGTAGAGGAGAACATTTTAAGCACCCCGGGCGGAATGTGTAAGAAGTATGCAGGTTTGGGACGCATCGCTAGAAATTGGCCCACACCGGGTAGGCTGAGGGAGGGATGAGGTAGGAGACCGATGTGATGAGTGGGAGTTGCTGCTTACTCTTTATATCCGTGATATCTGAGCGTGTGACTGAACACCTACACAAAAGAGCCCAGACACAGTGGGAAACGAGTGTACAAGACCGTGCAGATGGTAAACGACTGATGTGCCTGATGTCCGCAGTACCGACAGGACCTAGCTCCAACACCTTCTCCCCGGTATGGGAGAAGCAGCTGTTTGATGTGATGTAGAGAGCGATTAAATGCGTTAAGGACGGAGCGCTGAGCCACCAAGTACTGGCACAACAGTGTGGTCAAGTCAATACGATGGCTCGAGAAAAGAAGACCGGGGACACGGCGGGAAGTGTCACTGGAGGAAGGCGGAGGGATATCTGATGTGCTAAGCGAGGCTAGCCAGGCGGTTAAGGGGGCGGTAATACTCTCTTAGTCGTGGGGGAAGGTGTGTAAATGTGTACTAGTGCGGAGACTGTGGAAAGTGGTGTGCTCTGTAGCGCAGGAACTGTTGCAAAGATCCGGTTCAACGTTGCCGTGAGTCCCTGTGGGGTTCTATTAGGTCACGAAGTTTTGTTAGTCCTAGAACCATGGCACCCCTGCAGACAGAGGCGCGGCGCCTCCACAAATGATGTATATTCACTGTGGTAGTGGTGAGCATGTGCTTATGACATGATGATATGGTGTCGAAGTGTGTGCTTGCGTGTTTCTAGGAAGATTCATGTGTGAGCTGTTTCCCGTGTGACCTAGTGTTGGGGTTTAAGGGATATAGCTCATACACGAATCTCCAGGGTTCTGCTGGCCAACTCACCTGTTTGCAGAAGTCGCTGCGCCACTCCTATGACCTCCCCCACAAGATAAAAATCACTCATGAGGGGTAAGGCGAAGGTAAGGATTAAGGAGATCATACAACACGCTCGCGCAAGCTCGGGAAGCACTCTTGAAGCATTACGTTCAAGCTCGAGTTCCACTGGCCATCTTTGTTGGTGGTGCCCATGCACCGGGGGCCAATATCGCAGGACAATAAGGCCAGCATTGCACATCTGATATCCCTGAAATTCTTTATTTCACATGTGTACAAAATATTCTATCGTGATAGCAACTTCTATTGGCAACAATTTATTCGCTGTACTCCTCTGTGACCCGTCGGGTGGGCACGCCAACCACCGTCCTATAGTTCGGAAATTACGAGTAAAGAGTCAGTGAGAAGGCAAATCTCACCGATTCTATATGTAAAATATTTTCCGCTATGCTGTTAAGCCTTCTTCGCTGCGTTTTCACTGGTTGCAGATGAAGCACGAGCACACATCACGGGATGTGCTCGTGGTCCATCTGGCGCCTGAGTAGGTTATGGAAACCCCTGCTTTTCTAGTTTTTCTAGCAACATTCTGGCTAAGTAAGACAATCAAAACATCAAACTGGATAGATTCAAGAAAACTCTAGTTGGAAAGTGACCGAAAAGCAATTGCTTGTCGCTCGTGACCTGGGCACAGCAAGTCTCGTCGATGAAGGGAGCAGCAAAGTCTAAAGGTGTCTCTAATACATAGGGGAAATGAAATTGCGGAAATTTACGAAGGATATTGAACGAGATCTAGAAGCATTCACACTTTTGCGCCCACACGTGGCGGCATGCATATCCGCGGGAAACCAAGCCGTGCTGGAAAGCTGCCAGCGCGCAAGAAACACAGCGAAGGCATCCTAGTTTTGCATCCTCACTATATATTGCAGGTCTGCTTTCATAGCAAGCGGTTTTGGCAGGTTTATTTCATTTTATTCACTTCCTTTACCTTTTTACCATTGCCTCTGTTTCATCACATCACCGCCGCAATGGCGCTCCTTCCAACGCAGAGGCTAGCACCTGGCTGGGCACTCTCATTATTAGTTTTTCTTGCTGCTGGTCTTACCTTCCACTCTTCACATGCAGGTTCGTTAAGGTGACTGTATTGCAGGAACAGAATTTCTGCTCGTTTTAAGAGCAGCGCCTGGCTCGTGTTGGCATCTGATGCACGGTGCTTTGACGGGCTTTTCGTCACGAAGCAACGAATGTTGTGCTTTCACATACCCTACATATTAGGAGAGGGCTTTAGTAATTTTTGGTGTGGGTCTATAATGAAGACCAGCCTATTTTGTTCTTGTACGGTACCAGATGTGCAGGCTTCATGCAAAGACGTCGTTCTGCCAATGTCACCGGGACTCTGGTGTTCCTTTTCCTCATAATCCAGTGCCGCGTGCTTACTTGTATAATCAGTGCCGATCCGTATGGATCCACCAATGTGGGGGATTCTTATGTGGGGCCTTAGGAGTGTGAAGTCTCCCGACTGCCTTGTTGATACTGTGCACATGTTCAACACTACTATATCGACTTGGTTCGCACATTTTCTCATGTTACGGCTTCCTTGCTTTGCTTATTTGGTCTCCTGTGGTTGCTATGTGTCTTCAGCCGCCAGCTCGGAGGCAGATCAAGTTTGCACGAGGCTTCTGGACGTTATGTTGGTGGTGGACGAATCGGGCTCCATTGGCACCTCGAACTACGGAAAAGTGCGTAGCTTTATATCCAACTTTGCTGGAACTATGCCGCTTTCCCCTGACGATGTCCGCGTAGGCTTGGTTACTTTTGGTACATCAGCAGTGACTCGCTGGGACCTAAGCGACTCTAGAGCCCAGAATGCGGATTTGTTAGCAGCAGCAGCGAAAAAGCTGCCTTATGCAGCTGGGTCAACGTACACACACCTTGGACTTGCTAAAGCTGAGGAAATTCTCTTCAGTTTTCAGAAGGGAGGAAGGGACAATGCACCAAAAATGATTTTGGTCATGACGGACGGTGCCAGCAGCAGGCGATCGCAAACTTTAAGCGCTGCTGAAAAATTGCGCAACCGTGGAGTTATCATTGTTGTTTTGGGAGTTGGTACAGGAGTTAACTCTGCGGAATGTCGGAGCATTGCGGGCTGTGATACTAGCGATACCGTTGAGTGCCCCCGATACCTGCAGTCGAATTGGGGAGGTGTCAGCTCTCAAATTAACGGAATCATTAAAGCTGCATGCAAAGACCTTGCAAAAGACGCAGTATGCAGCGAATGGAGCGAGTATGGGCCTTGTGAAGGAGAGTGTGGCACAGAGGGGACGCGGACAAGCACCCGCGTGGAAATAGCCCCACCACGGCCGGGGACACCGCCTTGCCCAACTTGTGAGGCTCCACAGGGCCGGTCTTGTGCTCAGCAGCCTCCTGGGCTAATGCGTACGGAGCCGTGTACTATGCCAGCCTGCAAGATCGACGCACATTGCGGGGATTTCGGCCCATGGTCTGAGTGGAGCACCACTTGCGGATCGGCAACGCGGCAGAGAGTAAGGCAGGGCTACGAAGACCCGCCAGCTAGCGGTGGTGGGCTTTCCTGCATTGACCAGAACCCCCCTAAGTATGCAAAGGAGGTGGAGGTTGTTCAGAAATCCCCTTGCCCAGTTCAGCAGCAACCAGGACCTTGGAGTGACTGGTCCGACTGCTCTGCGACTTGCGGAGGCGGTACCCGGTATCGTGAGCGGGAGGGCTATCCCCAAGAAGGCGAATTATTCGGGGGCCAGACGCTTCAGGCCCAGGGTCTAGATGTGCGGGAAACTGACACGTGCAATGAGAATCCCTGCCCTGTTGATGCAACATGTGGTGAGTGGACTGAGTTTAGCGACTGCTCAAGGGTTTGTGGAGGTGGCACGAAAGAGCGTCGAAGGGAACCTTGGCTGGACAATGCCCAATTTGGAGGCCGATCGTGCTCGCAGCAGCATCCAGAAGGCCCCACAGAATCTGTCGAATGCAACGAACATCCTTGTCCTGTTGACGAAGTTGTTGGCGAATGGGAAGACTGGGGGCCCTGCAGTGAGCAATGCGGACGCGGGAGGCAGTTTCGCTACCGTGGGCCTAGTCTTCAGCAAGCTATGTTTGGAGGAAAGACCATTGAAGAACAGAACGCGGGTGTTCCGGAGGAACAAAAGATTTTGAAGGTGGAGGAACGTCCGTGTAATGATGTGCCGTGCGGTGAGCAGTCTTTATACTAGCGCCTTTAATAGGGCAAAGTTTTCTGCTTCGATCATAGGCTGGGCAAGCAGGCTATCTCTGGCCATGTGGTGCCTTTTCTTCGTGTTCGAGACGTTGGTACATGTATGTTTGGCAGACCACATCCATTCACTAGTGAAGTTGGCGGGAGGCAGAAACCCCAAGGCAGTACTCCTTTGAATGATCGGTGCTGTGCATTGCCTTCCCACAGGCCCTTGTACGCTTCCATTCACCGAATGGACAGCTTGCGAGTCGTGTTCCGGGACAAGAACACGGGACTCCATGGTGGCATTTGACTATGACGACAGACAATGTCAGAATCCGACACATGAGGAAGAGAGCTGTGATGCGGTCTGTGAAGAGTCTGCCAGTGGAGGGGGTGTTGGAGGGGGAGCGGGGGGTGCAGGCGGCGGAGGAGGGGGATCTGCGGGGGGCGAAGGGAGCAACGGAGCAGGCCCGGGGGAAGACAAAGAGGAAGAAAGCAAAGGCTTTCCGACTGCAGCTGTGGCAGGAGGTGTAGCGGGAGGCGTTCTAGCAATCGCAGCAGGAGCTGGTGCATTCTACGGATTGTGAGTCCTTGGCTGCTGAAGTTGCATTTTTGTGAATACTTTTGCGTGTTGAGCTTATGTCGCTGTCTCAAGGTTTGCTACTTACTCCGTTCGCCGCTAACTAAATGTGGATGCCATTGACTCTTGTCTGTTGCAGGAGCGGTGGAGCTGCGAGCGCTGCCGGTGGAGCTGCTGCGGAGGTCATGGTAGAGTCCGGTACAGCGAATCCTCCTGAAGTTGAAAAAGAGTCCCTTATCACTGCAGGCGAGCAGTCAGAGATGTGGGCATCGTAACAGAAGACCCACCAACGGAAGATGCTACAACAGGCGCAGGCAAATTCTTCCCCGAAGCGCCCACCAGGCAATTCGTGAGCACAGCAGAGGCAACCCCACATGCCCTATTTCGGCCGATAGTGCCATTCACTAGGCTGTACAAAGTTGGAGGAGCAGCTCCGTGATGAGGTGCAGTGTAGTCGGTCTCATCCCAGCTTCATCATCATCATTGCCGCCGCCTCAGCTTTTCCGGGAGCCGGCACGAGACAAACCGGGCAACGTTGCAGTTAACGGCGTAGCCAGGCCCTTCCCGGTTGGATCTATACACCGCTCCTCTGCTGGCACTGCGTCAGAGCTTGGCACGTGGTCTTGGTTTCTGGAGGGATTGTTGCTTCTGTGAAGAACAGCGCAGTGCTGGCTCGTTGCCACATTCACCAGGGATTAGTGTAAGTACGTGGATGTTAAGAATCACATAGTCAGTGTAACGCATAAGTATCGCATTACCTGGGCTATCGGATAGCGAAATTGGGCGAGAACACCGGTGACCGGCTTAAAGGAACACCTGTTCGTCTTAGCTTGACTTACAGAAGCATCAACGCTCGGCCTACCCCTCACATCACATGTGTTTAGCCAATGCCAACAACCTCGACCGTGCGCAAGCCTTGGCGTTGGGAGCATTGTGAAAGAGGTGGGGTTTCGATGTGCCCTGACCAACGTTGAGTTTATGTAAAGCGCTAGGGCCGTCAGCTGCATTAAGGACAGACGTTTTGGGCTGGAGCAGTACGTCGAGGCAAACTGCTTCTGTACTTTTTGTTTGGTACGTAGGTACATAGAGTGCGACATGCATATCCAGGTGTACGCATTCAAATGATTTGGCAATTATGACAAGCTAATATTCGAACTGCTGCCGCCTAGGGGTCTGCGTCACTCTGTACCTTCCTAGTGGTTAGAATTCAAGCGTGGGTGGGCGTGCTTTGTAGGAGGCCAGTGAAATGCGGGTGCGTTGCAACATCAGAACAGGCGTTCAAGCACATATTATATATATATATATATATATATATATATT